GGCGCTGGTGTGCGGTGTATATTTTGAACGTTACCTAAGGGATATTTCTACAGCAGATCTGTACAGATTCTGCACAGAATCTGTTAGAAAAGTGCTATAAATTCTGTCTACAATCTGCATGCAGTTACTGCACAGAAATTTGCAGACACGTTTTATTTGGGTAGGGTATTATAAAAGCATTCTAACTTTTGATCAAAAGACCGCTGAGATCGCGATGTCTCAACAATATTGAGAGATATGGGATCTATTTATAAGTACCAGTCAAATTGATATGCCTTGTTTTGGGAAGAGAAGTAATAGGCGTGTTACATGAGAAAGTCGGTGCAGTCTATAACAGTTCCAGTCAATAACAACTGAATCATAAACAAATCTTTTTAAGAGTTGAGGTATTTGAAGGATACTTGCCAACTGACCAATTGCCAAAGTTTGAAAATGATTTCAAAAATTCTATTCTGTACTTAAATGAGATCAGAAAATGAATTCCGAAGTAAAATTTGCAGAGATTTTCCAAAAATATAGCTTTTTCATGTAATTTTTACAAAGTAAGACCAGGACTAAACAAAAAACGTCCCTGCACATCTCTAGTAGAAACTGAGCACTGCTGGATTTGAATACTATCGCCATTAAAAACGAGAAAAAAGAGTTTCTACTACTACGGTTGATCAACTTTCAAATTAGCTAACATCTCTGGAGACTTTGTATTCTAAAATTCACAAACTTTTATGCAATACTTAAATATTTGATTAGACCATAATTAGAGACTGTGCTTGTTTATTATTTTCTGCGTAACTAACTATAGGGCACTTTTCGAAGGCTAAAACAGTGATTATGAAATCGACCACGGGGCATACTGAAAATATTAGTTAAATGTACAGCATTAAATGGGTAAATAACAAAATATGCGATTGAGTGTACAATTCACGATTGTACTAGCAATCCCGAACGAGTAAAACAATGATATATAAAACTGTACCTATTAAAAATCAAATTAACAACAACGAACATGAATGTTTTTGTTTCTGCTGTATGTTTCACGTGTTGTTCAATAAAAAAGTAAGAAAATGTCTTTTTCTCTTATATAATCAATCTATAATCGTAAAGAACTACGTTTTTGTCTTGCTTATACAAAAATCTAGTTTTCCATCAAAAGCTTTTGACATGGATCTAGAATCTAATTCCTCTCGCTCCTAACTGCAACCGTAAAGCTTTGATTAGATCGTATTCACACAAATGTGAACAAAATTTAGTTACAAACCTAGTGAAAAATGTCTGTCTGAGACACATCTACATCGATAAAAACATTGTAACCTGATCACTTTTTTTAATCAAACGTATTTTTTCAAACGCAAACGTTCACATGGACTATAAGTTACCTTGAAAAGCGGCATCAACTATTTTTAAATTTAAAGGTTACAATTCTCAAATACTCAGTATACAAAAAAACTTTTAACAATAAAACAAACAAATGTTTTGCGATTTGTTGACTGGTTTTCGATACGTATACGTAATAGTTACACTCATCTAAGTATCTCCATCTCATGTGGGTTTGTTTCTGAAAAATAAGTGGATAGAATTATCCGGAGAAAAACTTAACAGCAATCATAACGTGAAGATTACAAAGCTGCCACGAAAAGTCTCTTACTATAACAAAAAGGACTATAAGATATGCATTTAATACTAACTTCTAAAACACATTCGACATAGATGCAACATATTTCTTAAATAACTGAATAGAACTGAAGCGGAATTCTAGTGGCTTCGGTTGAAGCTGTTGCTCGACAGTAGAACTCATCATATAAATCAATGATTATTTTATTCAGGAAGATTATATATTTAACCCTTTAAAGCCCAATGTCCATTTGAATGGACATTGCCATTATCATTATAACAAACTAAGGAAGCATTGTTGGGAAAAACTGATCTTATATTGGTTGTAGAGAATTAAATTGGCTATCGAATGGTAATAAGAAAATTTGTTTATGGTGTATGCTAGCTGAGATATTCAAATTTTAAAATGAAGAAGATTTAGAAAAAATTCACTTTTTTTAATTTACTTTTTTCAGGTAGTTTAGAAAAGGCTGTTTGTTCAATGACTTTTCAGAAATATGTAGGGAGATGTGCTCTTTCAAATTATGTCAGCTGAATAAATTATTGTTGGAAACTGTAGGCTGCTGATGGTACAAAACGAAAGGGTATATTTTGCTGGGATTTCTGGCTCCGTTTTTTAATCATTCTTGATTTTCTTCACTATCGCAGCTCATTTTCTGTCTCATCAAACATAATGATCTAAACTTAGATACCTTTGCTCTTTGGTTTCTAATGAGAATTTTCGACAAAATAATTTTCTTCAAATTTTCATTGTAAAATTAAATTATAAAAACTTAACCTTTTTACAAATGAAAAGTAATTTTTTCCAAGAGTTAGAAAGTCATATCGAGGTCTCATATGTTCCATTTTCATAAGCGGTTGATGAAAAACCCAGCGTTGAAGCCTTGGGGACTTAAAGGGTTAAGCAAATGAAACGTGACTGAACATTGCTAAATGTACACGTACTTGCCTCTCGTCTTTTACTATCATAACGTGAATAATTTTATCATTTGATGGCGGAGATTGAATAAACGAAGATCATGGCTTGGACAGATGGCATGCCATATCTGTGAATGTGAGGAATTGTTCAGTAGAATTGCTTCTATGAACTTTGGCTTGAATAACGAAAAAGAAAGTGATAAGGTAAGTAATAAATTTTAATCCGAACTTTCTATGAGCAACAATCTAACTTTTTTTTACATCTCACATCGGAGATGGCCATCAAAATTACCATCTATGTACATTAGACATCTCCTGATTCGGTTACAATGTCTGTACCGACGTTGATATCTCTCGGACATATTTTTTACTCATATACTTATAATGCAAACTAAATGGACATTAGAGTACTCGTTCAAGTATACTTGAAACAAGTGTATATTTCGAGTAATTATATGCACAGAAAAATCTGAGCTGTTGGAGATCTAGTCCGGTACCAAAAGCCGAGACCGAACTATGAATTTCTCAGAAGAAGCAGTTTGGATTCTGAAAAGGACAGAAAATGATTTCTGTAGGAAAATGTCCCAATATGATTTTGAGCCAAATCGCGTAGAATTATCGGAAATTCTCCCCGCTTCACTTTAGAACCTGGTCAACCTTACAAAACTGAAAATCCCAGAGAGAAATCTCTTACAATGTTTCATTACTGTTTTAAACATCTATCCCGAGCTTTTCCTATAACTTCCAACTTTTTAACAAGAACTTGCATATAGGAAGATAGATAATTTCCAGCGCTTCTGAATAAACAATAAACAAGCTTTTCAAAAACGCACCCATATAGAAAGATTATCAAAGTACTGTCCAGGTCGTATATCACTTCCACCTTCGGTAACACTTTAAAAGAAGTTTATTTTGAGTGCAAGTACTTTTTTTTCGTTTAAAGTTTTGAAGTGCACGGACGTAAAAGAACTGAAAGGAAAATCGAGTTAAGTTAAAGAGTAAAAATAATCCAGATGATTTTGTGGGAATTTGTGTTTAATATCCTTGGTATACTAAAAGTCAGATTTTGGAAGCTCTGTGAACACATACGAACAGTTTATATTCTCAATCCACAATCTTCGAGCAAAATTGTGAAAATCGTATGGTGAAATGACGTTATCTCTGAGTCGTTAATGCGCTTATACTCACCTAGGATATCAATATCTTAACAGCACTCACATAGAGGTAAGTTTTTCTTACTTCATTCAATGCCAGAACTGGAATTGATACGAGGTTGCTAGCATCAGTTTCTATCCACCTATATCGATTATTATCCACAGGTGGTCAAATTCTTTCCAAATTCATCAAATAAGCCATTGGATTCCTCACTACTTCTCCATCTATTGTACTTACAGTGACATGTGTTACATATAAAGCCACTATCTGACAGCTGACTTAAAGTACGTGCACAAACGAACAAACTCAATCATATATCGATAAACGGGCACCTTGAAGACTGATCAATACGATTCCCACCACCGACACAGACTGTACGTATTTCCTGTACCAAAGAACTGAATGCGTAAAACCTAATGCGTAATTTCGCTTTTCTATATATAGTCTTTATACACTCATTCTACTCTGATCACGATCTTCATTCTTCTCGACAGCTTCAAGAAATTCTTGTACGAAAATTCTGCATAACTGAACATCCATACCAAAAAGCAAAACTGAAATTTCTCTCTGCTATACATTGACATGTGGGTTTGGACAATGTCCGTATACAAAAATTCATTTTCGTACAGCATTTCGACAATCATTCTATATGGGTATATTTTTGAAAAGCTTTCTAGCTCATTTTGAAGCTTAGGAAATTCTCTATCTTCCTATACGCAAGTTCTTGTTAAGAAGTTGGAAGTTATGAGAAAAGCTCGGGATAAAGAATGGATGTTACTGTTTATGACAGTAATGAAACATTGTAAGAGATTTCTCTCTGGGATTTTTCAGAAGAAGTTTTGTAAGTTTCACCAGGTTCTAAAGTGGAGCGGGGAGCATTTCCGATAATCCTAGGCGATTTGGCTCAAAATCGTATTGGGACATTTTCTTTCAGAAATCTTTTTCCGTCGTTTCTGTCTTGTTTCGAAGACATATCTATTGTGATACGTAAAACTAGTTTCTTCTTATTTAACAAAAACAAACTATTTCTTAATTGAATTATAAGACCATATCTCTCCATTTTAGGATCATGAATCGTCTCACGTTATATAATGCAGCAGTACTATTATTATGTGTGACGATTGATTCCACCAGAGTTCCAACGTGCAGCCTATTCATTTCAACATACTTAATAGTTATATCGTATTATGAATACAAAACGAATTATTTTTTATACAAATGTTGAAATAATTTTCTACAATTAAAAAAAAATGAACAAAAATTGAACTATAAATATTAAATAATTGGTAGGAAAAAAGGTAGATTGCTGCTGCGTAGAATTAGAAATGATCAACTAAAATAGAAACATTTGAACTCGTAACATGATTAATGCCCGTTAATTTGCCACCAATACTATTTGTATCGCTAACAGTTAGTCTATTATCGGTAGGTATCACTAAAACGACATAAAAAACAATGTATAAGTGCAATAATCATTATAGTAGACCACATACCATTATTTGTTCCATGTAACATTAAAGCTAATTCTTGTGCATCATTTCCAGCACAATGAGGAAGTAAAAGTTCTACTGGTTTCAAAAATTTAATACCATGTGGACCACACATCACAATTGGAGATAATAAACGTTCTCCTACAGTCGGATAACAAAATAGTGTTACAAAAAACGTATAGTTGTCAAAATTACCGTGTTTTTGATTAAATGTTGGAATATTAGCACCGTCTTGACAAACTTTAAAATATATTTCTTGCTTGATATTGTGAGGAATAGCTCCTTCTGGTACAATAATTGAAACACCTACAGATAAAAAACATCCTTTTTTTTGCATTCCGTTCTCCGTCAACGAATAGAAACATCCCCTGCTCGAAAGGGATCACATTCGTATAATTTACCTGTTTTAGGACACGATAATGTTCCACCATAATAATCCATGATACCACGAGCACTTCCAATCACATTATCTTCATCTTGATTTGTTGCATACATTCTAGACAATAGTACTTAATTAAGTAATTGAAAATTCATTTCTAGTATTCATCTCCGCTAATTCATATAAAATTATTTGTTTCAATATAACTAACTTACAAAACAAAAAACTACTGGCATGACAAGAAACAAGTGTTATGGAACCTGGCAGAAACTCTTGTATCATGCGGGTGACATTATGAGGACCAGGTCAACATAACAATGCGAAGTAATACAAAGCTCAGTGCGCTGTTATTGTGTCATCAAACCGTGTTTTTTTGTTGGTGAACTCATGCGTTAACGCATGCGTGACTAGGAAACTTATTCTACCTTTGGTCAGTACATTTTTGATCTGTATAATTTCTAACTGGAAGTGATGCGGACGATGATGTTGAATTATTTTTGACATCATTTCCATTAATTCCATTTATATGTCGACGATGTGTTGGTGCTGTTGTTTGAGAAATATAATCATTTTGATTATATACTCTTGGTTTTTTCAGATTTAATATTTGATTCCAATCTTCTATTTGATCTTGATATGAAACAGGTATAGGATGATGTCGTTGTTGTGCATTTGTTGCGGCTGTATAAGAATGTGAACGAAATTGATTGTCATTATGATCATCATTTGAATTTATTATTGGTTGACGTATTTTATGTTTTACCATTGATACTGACGAATTATTTGAATTACTATGATTATGTTTTTTACTACTACACATTTTTTGCTGTAGTAGTAAACGTACTTGATTTTCATCATCTTGATGACTATTACCACCATTACCAACTGTATTAAGTGACGTACAACGTATAATTCGATAAGACGGATCATTTGAAGTCATTAAAGACAAATTGTGATGATTATTATTAGCATCATTCTTAGAATTATTATTGTTTTCGTTTGGATGATAATGATCAGACATCAGACTACTTGTAGCACTACTAGGTAATTCAGACGAACTTCCACCACCGTTCTGATGCATTTGGGAATCAGTGCTAAATGGACCAGTTTGATTACGGGGTTTGGACGAGTGACCATTCGTGCCGTTATTAAATAACGAAGTAGCATTGGCTGTTTGATGAACACTTCTATTTGGCCTAAATAAATAGGAAAACATCAGTCGTGAAATTTAATATAATAAATGCCTGTCTATACCTGTTCCACGTTGCATAAATATTGATTGAATTTTTATCTGCATTAGTCATTGTTGATTTATCGATAAGATCATGCTTTTGATTCAACAATAATGATGATGATGATGATGATGATGGTGGATATTGACGAGACTTAACCATAACAGGATAAGAATCATTATGATATCCATTTGCTTGTGGTTGTTGATTACTATTGATGTTTAAATTAAATTCAGATTGCGGACGTCGAGATAAAGAACCACCGCTATCACTTAGACTCAGTCGAGTACCACTATCGCTGCCGCCTCCTACAGTGGTTCCATTGCGTAGTTTCGGTGCAAGCAGTGGACGACGCGTGTTTTTCAAACTGCGAGAATTAGAAGAATGCGTGGAAACACTAAAAATGCAAACAGTATGTACAAAACATGCTTAAAAATGCTGAATGACGGTTGAGTAGAAAGCATCGAACTTTTTGCATTATGAGAAGCTTAGAGTTAAACAAAAATCATTCACAGCATACAACAAGCAATTCAGTCTTTGCATTAAAAATCGTGAAAAAATTATTATGATATTAAATAAGATGAGAAAAGAACTAGTTAGATAATTATCGATAGAACTTGAAGATAATTAATTATAAAGAAATGTGCATATTTCTTCTTAGTTATCAATGTGATTATAGTTGTTAAAGTTATGTGAAGTAGATATAGTGGTGCATGAAATAGCTGTGCTTCGAGTAAACTTATAAATTTTATTAGTCGTTTTAGTTGTATACTTTTGTAATTGATCTTGGTGTTGTTGTTGTTGTTGGTTGCCTGATCTTTGATATAAACGTTGAAGGAAATTTTCGTCAACATGAGGCATTGAATCCGAACGAAAAATATTTGAGTCAGTTTGAATAGATGTTGAACGAATATTATTAATTAATTGATTACGATCCTAAATAAACGAAATCCATGTCATATATACAACCGCTGAATAAAGTTGATTAATCTACCGTAAAATATTTATTTGTAAATGAGTTAACGTCACTGGTATTAGTCGATTCTTCAATATCTAAAAGAGAATCATGATGAAAAGATTACAGTTGTGATATGAAGCTGTAATACACACCGTGAATTGTTTTTAGACGACTATGTGGGTATTCTGTTGATGAATTACTTGACATATTCAATGAATTTATTGGACTTTTAGCAATTTTAGAATTAAGCATTTGAACGTCTAATACTGAATGACTACGATTTGGCAAGGACATTGTTGAATGTTGCATAAAACCACTATCTATTTTAATAGATTAGTAATTAATAACATAACTGATAGCTGATGGCAATGTTTGACACTTACTATCATCTTCGTTACAATCATCATCGTCCTCGTTTTCGTCATGATTATTCGATAAATAAGGCGAGTAGCCATGCTATAATGAACGATAGAACACTTTTTTTATAAAACAAAGAAGAATTGCTTAGGGGAAAAGACAAAGAATGCATTCTTTTGCTCTTCTCAGCTGTTTCGCACACGAAGAACGTCAACGCCCATGCAAGAATACAAAAGAGGTGATAGCGATATTTCGTATGTAGCTAAGAGGAAAATTAAAAGAATAACTGAGATAGTGAATGTCAGACACAGGTCGAAACGCTTCGTACCACATAAAATGAAATAAAGTTTCGCAAAATTTTTTTTAAAGCGATACAAAAAGTACTGAACCATTCGCTATCGTACAGTAAGTTACGATACTCTTTTTTTTCGGAAAGTACAGGTATCGAAGTATCGATAATTCACTACTCAAAATACTCACCATCTTGTACCGATTTGTCGAATTATCTTGATACATCTCTCCATTTGTTCGCGGAAACATGACCGGATCTGAGGCAACACGTTGTAAATTATTTCTATTACTATTATTGTTATTTTGATTATTATAATCATCAAAACATGTGATATTTTTAAATGAATCAACAATATCGGATTCGGGACTTGAATTGCCCGTGTAACTATGACGAGTAGATATAAAATATTCATCAGAATTTAAATTTTTATCAGCCGGTCGATCATCACACATCCAAACTGGTTGTTCTTGTTGAGTTTCAATAGTCGCTTTCACTTGCTTATACCAATTGTTAGTATCTAACTTTATTTCAGCTGTAAATAAATAAGAATATAATAATTCTAAACGTTCACTTGATTCATATAAACGTCTCGTTGATTTCTGATATAATTTTCCATATTTTGCTCGAATATCTTTTATTTGTCGACGATCGTTCGCTTTTAAATATAAAACAATCGGATAACATTGAGCATAATTTAATTGTTCAACAGCTGCTGGTGTGATATCAAGTAAACAATGACGATTCTAAATATTTTAAATCGAACAATTTAGATAGAATATTCATCGTTTCATTGATTTTGAATATTCTACTTACTCTTTGTATAACATTTTTTATTGTTTGAAGTTTAATAACATTCGCTCGTGCTTTTGTTGGTGAACTAATATCAACTCCTAGAAGAAAAAAATTTAAAGTGCACTATGATTCTCACTCTACATGTTGAGACATACGAGGTAGCTCAAATCTTTCTGGCCAATCTTTTAATAGACGATCTCGTGCAATATCGGCCAAAGCACCAAATAACACCACAGGACGAATAATTGTTACTAAACAGAAATAATTTGTTTCGTCTCATCAGTTCTAAAGTTTTTTTTGTGCGACCTACCTGCTTTGAGTAGTACTCTTTCGTAGGCAGGAAACTTCGATGTTGATGAAGCTAAAAAAAGATAATTATGGTAAAAAATTTATAGTTAAATTAAAAACCATGTATAAATTGTCAGCAAACCAGCGTTATAGTAATAAAAGAGATTAAAAAAACCGGTGTAAAGCATCATGTGTTCTGTTGCATAAGTGAAAAGTAAAAGTCAAAATCAAATTTCTGATCAGTGCATCAAAAAATGAATTATACAAACTTCTCTCACGTATAAAGTTGAACTTACCCTTCCAAGAATTGGATTTTGCTAAAAATATATTCTTAAACTTTAAAATATCAAAACACAAACGGATACTACTTTGCCCTTATTTAAGATGAGCCAGATGAAAACAAACGTTCGAACAAAGTAAACTCCTACTATAATTTTAAGCTTTTTAAACTTACCAAATAATGCATCTTCTTTTAATTGTAGTGAGGATACTGAACGAGAACGTTTATCACTAAATCTTGATCTTAATTTTCGTTTTAACGATGGTTTCGATTTAATTAGTAAATCCAAACTGGGCGCTAAAGCAGCTAATTGTTCAGCTCTGTATAAAAAAATATATCACAGTCAATTAAATGAATGTAATTAAAAATATAGGACATAGTTCTTACTTTGCTTTATTTGGTATGGCACCTGTTGTTTTTCCCGATGATGCATTCACTTTTGTGGCCACCCATGAGCCCACTTGACCATTGTACAGTGTATCAGTTATGTGAAATATATCGTTTACACGTATCGGTAAATCTTCGTCACCTGGAGAATTATAACTAAAATGAGCTCTAAAATAGAGAAAAGAACAACTGTATGTTATTGAAGAACAACGTATTGCATTCATATCTTTGCTATTATGTTACATTATAGCAGTCGCACAATCCGGAATGTTATCCATATCAGAGAGTGTGTGTATGGAAAATTGAATCGTTACTACAAGTTATTTTAACAAAAAAAATCGGTTCGTAATAAGAAATTGTTCAAATGTTTTACATAATTATCACCACTTTTTCGAAAAATTTTAAGATTTTTCAATTATTATAGACTTTTTATTCTTGATCGTACGAAAAGCAGGTTAAGCTTTTTACAATGAAAAGCAACGTCTATTATACCGCTAGTAAATAATAATTCCAAGCAATCAAATACATTATTTTTTGTATGAAGCTTTAGCGATCGATCATGTTATACAAACCTATGTTAGTGAGATGTCATGTAACTAAAGAAAGTTTATATAGAGTATATAGTAACCATCTGTTCTACTTTAAAAGTCAAAATATAAATAATGAAACTAAATTACCTAACATAAAATGAATCACCTCCAACATCGGCTAGAAGTTGTTCATATTCTAAAATAAATAACAATGAAACGACTATTTATTATCTTGATTGATCAAATTTTTTGTATTTACCATGTCTCAAGTTTGAAACAATCATATTAACTTGAACGATTTTCATATTCATTAAACAGAGAACAGCTTCTTCACGTGTTAAACCAGTAAAATCGACATTATTCACCTAAAGAAATTAATTATACTAATTATACTTTTTATCATGATCTGTAAAAATGAAATCTTACACTAAAAATTTTATCTGCAACGAGTAAACCAGCTTTATGAGCAACACTGTCAGCTTGAACTTCACAAATAAATATTCCATATTTATCTCCACCAGCTAGACGAATGCCCATACTTGTTGTATCAGTTAAAAATGATACATAACGTGTTAAATTACTGCTAAAAATATATCAATAAATATTATCTATAACAAGTATAAACAACTTATCTCCAATTACCTTGGTCTATTGAAATCATGTTTATAATTTGCAATGATATCTGGTACATTGGTTATTCCTCTAATTTCGTGTTGTTTCTGTTGTTGTAATGGTGTTTGTGTTGCTGTTGAACATATTAAGGTTACCGGATTTTTCTGTACAATGGAAGATGGTTGATGTCTATTATTATGTTCTTGTTGAGAATATTGTGACGAGGTTGTATTAAATATATGAGCATTATAGTTTGACTGTAAATCTTGTGTGTTCACCGGTACAGTCGAGGAATATTTAGAATGTAAATTATCAAATAGACCACCATTTTGATGTTGTTTATGACTAGAATCATTAACAACAATTGGAATGTTTTTTTCAAGGTAAGGACGATGATTATGATACTGATGAGAATGATCCTTGATATTTTCTGTTTCTAAATTTCATAAATCATTAACAAATATGTTCTTCGAACGTCTACCAGTATTGTCTCAAACTATTAAACCTACTGTTAATGATATTTTTATTTATCGATCCTTGCGATGGTCTGTTATTTGTATTGTTATTATTACTGATATTTAGTTGTTCTTGATAATTTTGATGATTATTATGTCGGGGTAAAACAAATAATGTTAAGCGTTCTTTAGCTTTATCCACAAGTTTTTGAGCATCAATCAATGATAAACGATCAATTGGAGTTTCATTGATCTATGTTAGAAAGTAAATTGTTTAGTTGAATGTACAGATTATCAATATATACATACTTTAATTATTTCATCTCCTTCAGTGATTAGATTTTCTTTTTCAATTGAACTTTGCTGATGAATTTTTTTCACGTAATATCTACAGCCCAACACAATACCAAATTCATCTTTTTTGGTTTTTTGTAATGTTAATTTTGTCGGTTCAGCATCGAACACAAGTACAGAATGTTTTCGACGACGAACAACCTTTTATGTTTTTGTGAATTAGAACTTATTATATAACTAGCAACAATAAAGAATAGCTTTTTTATACCCACCAGATTTACGAAATCCGTTGATTCACGAATTAGTTTCAATGCGGAATGTTCCATATTAGCGACTTGATAACCGTTAACACTTATTATTTGATCGTTTGGTCTAAAAATTTGATATATAATAATTTATATATATCTTCATTGTAAACTTGTATTCAACTTACAATAATTTTCCGTCCGCTGGTCCAGCTCGCACAACGTCGCATACAATTAACGATGATTCACGATCTGATATATTATTTTGTCTATTGTTCGTAACGTCTACAATATCCGTTTCTTGAAATGGTGCATCTCTAACAGTCACAACATCATTTTTATTACTTCCTCCATCACCACCACTAATCGCAATGCCGAAGCCATGCAATGGTGACTATAAGAAGAAAAAAAGCAATAATTATATATTCACTAAACGTTTTTCCTTCTCTGGATAATTAGTATTATATTCAATTGTGATCTGAATGTATTAATACGTTTCCACTGTACTTGGTTATGTCGTTGTTCAAATAGAAAAAAAATTCTTTCTTCGTGTTATAAGAACATATCATCTACTTTTTTTGTTATTGTGAGAAAGCTAAAGATAGACAGACACCTAAACCTCTTATATAGTCATGTATACAAGTTGGAATCAATTTTTATATTCACTATTTGTTATCAAACGTTGAAAAAAAAGCGCCCAAAGGTGGATGTCTGCTTGTTTTTCTGTGTCCTCAGCATACCATGGAAAAATGATTGAGAAATATATTCAAGCAACTTAGACTTCATTTTAAAGGCCACTGAGATTGAATAAAGCTTATCTCTTAACGTATTACAGCTTCCTATTCTTTTGTGAAGAAGAAAAATAATTCAAATCTAGGCTCGTATTAATTGAAAATATTCTCTCTCAACACAGAAGCAACAACGAACAATAAAAGCAGCAAAAGAATAACAAGAAAGAAAGACTTTAACCTGCTGCATTGAACATGATCTTAATCGGAGTCTTTCTATCTAAGAGGATGCTCACAATTTCCTCACTAATGAATTAGTAGATGAACAAAGATTGAAAATATTGTGGATGATAGATAGTAAACTAAGACTACATGTGTCCTAGTGTTCGTAAGTCGAACGTATTGCAACTAGATCATAAAAAATAGAATAACAAGTGCTAAGTCTAAAATAAAAAAGAATAAAAAATGCCCGATAATAGTAATTAGAGGGAATATTATGAACAGACGCTCAGTCACTTCGTTTTAAAATTCTGATTCTTCAACTGAGAGAAAGCAGCATAAAATTTTGAACAATTAAGAAATAAAAGTACTAATAAACAAGACTACGATCGGAATAACAGTTACCTATACTCAGATATTTTCCAGTCTGCTTTGCTTCCTCACTATTTTTTACATTGAGCTTTGTACACTTCCCTTTTCTCTACAGAGGTGTGCATACCGCTCCACTGGTATGATGGTAGAAAGTGCTCGAATATGGATTGAGTTCAGGTACGCAAATTTTTATCGGATAGGGTATCGGCAAGGTAAGTCTTACGCTTGTATACCTTGACTTCTTGAAGCTCGAAAAAATAAATAAACGAAGAATAACATTCATCTAAGAATTACGTTACTCATTACGAATTCAGAAAGAAATATATTTAATCCCTACCGACTGATGCTTCCTGTAGATGCTTCTTTTACAGACGTTTTCTTTCCTCGACAAGACGTGTTACTACTATAATACTCCTGTTGACACTTTTTTGGGGTGTACTTCTAATATTTTTATTAACCAAAAGCATTTGTAACATTAACAAAAGGAAACGCATAGAACACGCTCATGTGACATTTAACGAAATTTTATCGGTTAAAGTTCTATGACCTTCCTTTCTCTTGAGTTTGTTAGATGAACCCGATCAATAATAATAACATATGAAAAGTTCTTACTCTTGTCAATGTAACTGGAATACATTCGATTTCTTCGACCTAAAAGAATAATTATAATGTATACATATATAGACAGGTATATATTCATAAAATAGAATGATATCAAACTAGCGTTTGTTTATACTCTACAAACAAATAGTACAATAAAACTTTCAGCTCAATATTTTGTTTACCACTTCAGAACGCATCTGTTTCTTCTATTCAACTAAATGATGTCAAAAGGGTGAATTAATTTGTTACGCAAAGCATAGAAACAAGTGTATAGAAATACTATGATATCAAACATAATTCAAATCGACTGTATAGATATGAAGATGTACAAGAATTGTGAAAGTCTCATCATAAAAATTAGCTTCTACTAAGTCATACTTTAGCTTTAGTTCGTTGATTTTGTGTGAAGCTGATTTATTTTATTAAAATATAACATCAGTTAGCTCTCTTATTCACTCATGGGCACGTATAAATATTGTTATCTCTTACATGTATTGAAATTATTTGAATTATTAATCGAGAACAATGGTCACTTCGTATGTGACATTTACATATGATCTTTATTTTATAGTCTTTATACAGTCGATGATCAATACATAAACATTGTGCATGTAAAATAATTATATCAAGTTCAACATTATCACCAACATTCTTTTAAATGTTGTTGATAAATGGTCTTATCTCTTAAGAATAACATACATCTATTAAATATCTATTATTAAATAAAATGATTTATGTGTTATGAATCGCACGCAAAAACGACCAAGACAGAGAAAATGCACTAAAATCAAACATAAAATGTCACTTATAACTGAGCTTATGCTTACAAGATAGGAAATGGTTAGGGACTCTTCAAATTTTATATCTCTTTTTTCAATTTTAAACAGCATCCGATTCTTTTTCTACATTACAATCATCATATTTATAGGATAATTTGTTCTTCGTCAAAAAAATATTCTATTTTGTACTAATTTTCTTCACTTCGAAAATACACCATTTGTCCTAGAATTTTTTATCAGGTAAACTTTTGTTTGAACAAACGTTTAAATGGGAAATGAAAATATTGAAGACTACTCAGAATAATGACCTGGCTTAGATGTTTTCTTAACGCTTATCAATGTAAACATTGAAAAGACTATGTTCTCTTTTTCTGAGTAAATTGAACGTTTCTATTGCTAAGTCGCTGATGTGTTTAAGAACACAATTTAGAACTCTTCTATTCTTCTTCCTTCTCGTCTATTGACAGACCAGATATGTATACGTGGGCAAACATTTACAAAAAAATAACAAAATACCGTTGTTCTTAATTTCAGTTTTGTGTGTGTGTACATACGCGAGGTGTCAAATACAGACAGACGCTCAAGAGGTGTATTAATATAGATAGAACTACCTTGTATGGTGTAGAAAAGAAGTCATGAGAAATGCTTCCTCTATAGAATGAGAAGAGGTCAGTTATTCAACTAAAACAGTAACTCAACTCAGATTCAGTTGTAAATAAATACAAAAGAGGTCACATTATCATCCAATTGTTAGTGATTAGTTCTAAGAGATAAAAAGTCATTTTTTCCTTCAACCTGGATAGACTAGACTAGTGAACTTATATGAGACTCTAATAACAGCCCCATTTTCTTCAAAAGCATATTCAATATAAAATCACTTCTGAAGATGTTTAGTCATCACCGCCGAACGGAAAAAAACTAAGCGTCGTTTCAAACTTGAAATTTGCTATCATATAACACCGACGTTTTTTTTTATAATTAAAGAGAGAGCAACATAACTATATCGACTTTTGTATACATAGATCAAAGAAAGGGAAATGACATTAAGATGGGTTGCAAATTAACAGCAGATCCGGTACAAAAAGTAATGAACCGGAAGATAAACAAAAACAGTTTACACGACCGTATAATTTCTACAGTTGCAATTTTCTGTTAACAAAACATTGGTATGTTTAATTGATAAAGAATTTCCCTACATATCAAGAACGGAAGATGACACATTTCAATGAAAAATCACCTTTAGCAAAAGAGAAAATGTTGCTTTTTTAAAATCTTGTAAAAATATTAAACTTACCGACATGGAACAACTAACTGTTGGTTTTGATGCACAAGCGTTTCCGATAGTATATGAATACGAAAGCTATATCAATCAATATAATTCAATAACATTTGATGATAAGTTCAAAAAATAGAAAAAGGATGATAATATTGATAATAATCACAATAATCGAACAAGTGAAGAACGAAAAAGCTAAATAAATAAAGTCGTCAAATGAAGGACGTCTCTTAAATGAAAAAATACAAAAACGACAATGAATGACCCTTATAGTATAGAGAAACGTATGATGAACCTAAAATATGATCATAAAAAAAGAAAACGTGAATCTTTGTTTTTGATTAAGGTTGAACTACACGTACATATACGCACACCTACACATACAGTATAAACGATTCTATTGATGATCGGCTGAACTATGGCCAAGGGAATATGACCAAAGAAACAGCGAGAGAGAAAAAGAGAGAGAGAGAGAGAGAGAGAGAGAGAGAGGAAACGCGAGAAGAAAAGTTCATTTATATAAAGAAAAAATGATTTCCCTGTTCCTATTATGGTTCTCTTACCTTTTTTTACTTTGTACAATAACTTTCAACGATCAGATTGAAAATGACCGAGAGAAATAGAGTTGTAAAATTTAATATATATGTGTTGGGGGGGTGTATGCAAAGTAGAAGGAGGAAAGACGAAGATTGAAGATACTACAAGACAACAGAACAAAAATGCGAAATGGAAAAAGAAAATTAAGGCGCTTATTGATCTTAAAATAAGATCACATTCTATTGTCTTCTAAGGGCACTCCTCCTTTCCTGGTTTAAAAATACGAAGGTTTTCACAATTCAGGTTTGATATACCGTCTTAAAGTTTTAACTGTACTGCCTGGTCCTGAATGGCGCTTTTATAGAAAACAAAGTATTTATTTTCGAAAATTGAAACAGTAATCTTTCAGTCTCGAGGACTCACATATGGCGAAAGGGTCTTCCAGTACAAATGCGAGTATAAAGTAGAGATGTACAATTCGATCACTAAAAGATACGTCGAGTACAAAGTCTCACATACGGATCGGATACGGTACGAAAAGTCAAGCCTATGTATCATATCACCGTGTACTTGAAGTATGACCATTTTCACTATAACTCTAAAATGACTTATGCAGTATAAAGTGGCGAACAAAAGTTTAAGAGTTTTATTTCTGAATTTTCTTGTGAACGAAAGTAGCTAGAAGATATCCGACGACAGATTTGTATAGAGAGCATTTTGGAGTAACTACACACATAATAAAAAATTTAAATTAATCTAAATTTAACCGAATTAAAAAAATGAACCTTTAAACCATTTAAAAAGCCTAAAATTTTTAAATCTTTTAGAATTAGTTAAAAGTCGTTTTTGATCACTCAACCAGATAAAGCCCACTTTTCTCATTAAAATGTGACATTCCGTAGATTTCTCGATCTTTTTTGACCGAATTATGAAGTTTCTCCCGAAAGCACCACACGAAAGAAAACAGCAAATTTGCTAACAGAAAGCGTTTGTAGTGCAAAAAAAGACACTTTCCGGGGAAACCCCATAACTCGGTCAAAAAAGGTCGAGAAATCTGCGGAATGTCATATTTTGATGAGAAAAGTGAGCTTTATCTTGTTGAGTGATCAAAAACGACTTTTAACTAATTTTAAAAGATTTAAAAATTTTAGGCTTTTTAAATGGTTTAAAGGTTCATTTTTTTAATTCGGTTAAATTTAGATTAATTTAAATTTTTTATTATGTGTGTAGTTATTCCAAAGTGCCCTCTATACAAATCTGTCGTCGGATATCTTCTAGCTACTTTCGTCCACAAGAAAATCCAGAAATAAAAGCGGTCTTAAACTTTTGTCAGCTACTTCAGTTTAACAGCTTTTGAACAATTCACGCAAATGTATTTGTTGCTGAAATTTTCATCAACACAAACTACACTGCTCTTTAGAAACACCAGAAAGTGATATGTCTTTGATGGTTTTCTGTTGTCTTCTAATTGACGGGATAATGTCGTAACTTCAAATCAATGAGTATAATGGGAGAAATTGGCAAACATACGTTACTGTAAATGTTTCTATTCTGATAAAGTCAGTCTTTCTAATTACACGACTCACTAACGCACTTAACAACCAAACAAATATGGTATAGTAATTCAATAACTCAAAAGTTAAAAATAGATTTATGAATTAAGACCTTGAACAAGCAACTTACCCAGGTTGTACAATATGTCAGCCCAGAGTGTAAAATGCTAAGTTGCAAGGTTTCCAACACAAATCGACTACTTCTCCAATAAGAATTTGTTGTGCATAATTACTAAGTTAGTGAAAAAACGGTGAAAGCCTTCTATCCCACTTCTATAGAAATACAAAGTATCAACATTTTTTATTTAGATGTAATAGATCACCGATCATTGAAAGCTTCTGATTTCTTCGAAATTGCTTCTTTAAAACTTTGAAAAACGTTTCGTACACGTTCCATTTTGTTTATCAATAAAAATTTTAATTAAAGATGGTGATTCGAACAAGCAAATTGTGTGTCTGTGTGCACATTACATCATATCGATATTTCTCACCTTCGAGCAGGCATCAAAGATTGAGTAACATATATACTACAAAAGAAGAAAATGTAATTATCGTTATTACTCCTCTTATTATTATGTGGTTTTCTTTTTCTTTCTTCGTTTTATTCTGTGATCACTGATTCTCTCTGTTACTAGTTGTTAAATTCTATTTTTCAAAAATGTTTAAAGATTGGTATTGTATTGTGTATTATATTTTCTTTTCCTACTCAAACAGTTGTTTCATTCTTCTGAGATGTTTTATTTTATTAACATACATACACCTTCATTTTTGTATGTAAATATATGAATGATTAGCAAATGACTCTGACTATATAATGTATATTGAACTGAAAGTATAACTGCAAAGTGATGCAAATTTCTATAAAAAATGTAAAACTTGCAACACCGAAGTATCAAACCAATGCTCAACAACAATAAAATAGTTCTGAGGCTAAGTTACTGGGAAGGTTATACTAAAAACGTGAATTAATGGGTAACTATCAAGTTCCAACTTCAATACCTTCACCAAAATCCTCTTATTTTTCTTTCTTATTGACTATTTAGCATCGGTGTTACTCAGGAGACGAAATATCACAGTGAAATTTTTCATTTCGCTCTAAATTCCAAATGAACAAAAAGGATCTTTAAAAATTTTCAGCAGATAGTCCTCATCTAGCGAACTCCGAGACAGAGCTTTATCTATGTCAGCTTTACAGATCGAGTCAATTTAGTCTTTCAGCCCTTAAGGTATGAATGAAACCAGTTCAATTATGATAAAAGGAGTGAGATGGTCATTAGAGTAAAAGTGATCCAACAAAGTAGTTTCGATTGCTTGTAAGTTAGATGTTGTCAAAAAAGATGTAAAAAGAAAGGATTTCTGCAGAACTAAGTGTTTATTTCACTAATCGTTGAATCACTCTTTAAACACACCAAGAATCGCTCGTTTGCATTGTTGACCTGCGAATCGCTGTTTGGCTTCTTCTTTACCTGCGCATAACACAAGTGTGTAGTTGTGGCATGATATATGGGTGCTGATACCTATCAGTCACGCACTCTGATCCAAAATTAACTAAAAGCAGCTATACAGAACGATGTCCTATCCTTCAAAGAAGATTTCAGTGCGACACCATGTGGCACTGGAATTATTTTGTAGGATGTCCTCTCTAATTCGATTACGATATGTCTCGAGCAAACCGTGCAGTTGCTATATGGGAGCAAATAGATTGTTGCAGTCATCTTATAAAAAATTCTCAAAACTGCATTCATCCTGGAATCATGTTCCTAACTTTTGCTCTTAATGTACGCGCTTCTCACTTCCCTCATGCCATCCCTGCCTTTACCTTCACCTGAGATTACAGCTGACTATGAACCGTGTGGGTGGTCCAGAAGAAAGTGCAGTTTTAGTCTTTTTTGTTTTTCTCCTTCCTCTTAGATCGTAGACTGTTCATTTTTTATTAAAACATCCTCCATTCATTTTTCTACAAAATGAGGTTCGAGACGCTGTCTTAATTGAACAAGAATCGAAATGTCTGAAAACCCTAAAACTTTAAAGTTTTCTGACGACAAATTCGAGTTTTGAACTTAATTTTGAACGTGATAGGAAGAAGATCTCAATTCATTTCTTGCCATATTTAGATGTCCTCTTTCAGATAGCGCAAGACTCATTTCATTCACATCGATCTGATGTGGTAAAAATGTCTAGTTAGTAATTGGCATCCATAATTGAACAGAATGTGATAGTTTTAACATCTCGATTATTTTCAGAAAAGTTACATCAAAAATTTGTCTTTATTTTTGACAGAATACTGCTCAATTTACAAATAGCCACAAAATGCAAGTTGAAAAAGGTGAAAAAACGATCATAAGGCTTTTGCGAAAAACGTTACTGAGAGCACAGAAATAACGACAGAAAATTCGCATTACAGCTAATAGATAGAGCATTTCAAGAGCTACATTTTGACCCCCTTTTCTCTGGCTACAACGCATGCGTTCAAGTTCATACTGACGAAATACACTTTTTTGAGTTAAGTTTTTTAAGTATTTGGAATGTTTCGACTCTTGTTCAATTAAGCCAGCGTCTCAAACCTCATTTTGATACGATAAGATATTGATGATATCAAGTGAGTAACTTGATAAATGAAATTGTATAAGAAACCGTACTGATTTCTTGGTGTGCGTGTGTGTCTAAGAACAAAAGATTTCTTTCTGCATGACGTTTTTGTGAAAAAAATGAAAATGAAAAGTGGAGAGTGATTATTCTGTCTAACAAGATCTTTACAACTACCCATTCACATATGATTGGCTTTAGCTCCTCTCTATATAGACGGAAAGGAACTAAATTTATGTATCATATATTACATGAAGCCAATGTTTACCTATGGCGGAAGTAGTGAGATTCTTTGTTCTTTTTGCAATTTCAAACATTGTGTAAATGTGACATGCCCTGTCCAGAGGAATTTTCTGTAATATTTATTCGATAATAAGCTAAGTGTGCCTCCCCAAAAATAATTCCTTCCAGTTAAATTCACTCGCAAGATCATACCAGATCTGTCATTTTCTAATGAATTCTTAAGACAAGATCTTATTGTATGAATTTTACAAGCTATTACAAGATTATGTGAGAAATTGTAGAAACTTTCGCGGTCTTGTAAAATTTTGCACATGAGACTGCTGAATTATATTTATTTATTATCATGAGCTGCCATACAAAAGCTTACAAAATAATACAATTTTTTGTTCTAAAGTCTTGTGACAAGTGATAATCCATTCTTTCCAGACCCTCTGAAGGTCTGGATTCTACAGTAATCACAACATATTAATAAGCGACCATTAGCGACCTCTCTTGCAGTATTTTTAAGTTTCTTTACTTTAAGAAGGAATCTAATCAAACAAATTCAGGCAAATTAAATCAACTTTTTTTCTCTGCCTGGCACTGATTTCTTCTCATAATTTTCAAAAAACTGTGCAAGATAATCTGATGAGGGTACAAATTCTATGAAATTCAAGTTGGACATTTTCTAGTTGTAGGTGAGGATTTAGTTATAGCCTGTCTTGTTTCTTGTTTTAGTTTAGCTCAGTAGTGTTTCGAATTGAAGTATTAGAGAAATGTGATAGTTAGCAAAAAAGCACACAAGAAAGTTTACATACCCCATCATTCATCGTTTAGAATGAGAAGAGTGCAATAATTAGTATAAATAAGGATGTCGACTGAAAACACGAGCACAAGTTACAATTCTACTCCTGCCAACAGTGTACCAGGTGCAATGCCTGCAGGAAATATAACAACAATAGATGATAAGAATGAAAGGTTAGTCATGTCCTGTACCAGCTCTATATAACTTGAAAGGTTGTCTGTTCTCTTACATTTTTAGTGACCTGTCGGGCAAAACTCTTTGTTTGGGAGATTTACATTGTTCACAACTTTTATTACGTATGAACAAGTTAAGAAAATCTGAAAGTTTATGTGATATAACATTGAAAGTGGAAAATACTTATTTTCCAGCACACAAAATTGTGTTAGCAGCTGCAAGCGATTATTTTGCAGCCATGTTTACAGGAGAGGTATTTAATATGTTCTTCGATAAAAATATTGAGTCTGATCACTACGAGGAAATGATGTTAGAGTGAATGTTTCATAAAAATTAGTCAAAACGATTGATCTAGCGTGTTACAATTTACGTCTTAATATTACTGAACGACAGCTGGGTTGAAATGTTGGATTCCCTCACCTTCCTATGTCCTGAGCTCAACAACGTGACACTCGGACTGACATAAATATAATTTGTCTGAAAAATTGTTGACATAGGCTGATAATTTTATTTGTTTACAACGTACACTATAACGACCAAGTTTTGTTTTTGTTTTGATCTTGATAGATGTTAGAACGTCATATGCCCGTAGTTGAGATCAAAGGTTTAACGGCATCTGTGATGGAGGCTATTTTGAATTCAATCTATGCTGAACAAGTACCACTTACCAACGAAAATGTTCAAGATATTCTGCCAGCTGCTTCATTATTGCAATTGAACGGTGAATATACACTTTTCATTTTTTTTTCTTAATAATATTTTGTGACTGGTTTGTTTAGATATTCAAAAACAGTGTGCTGTTTTTCTTGCTAGTCATTTGGAACCCTATAATTGTTTGGGAATATATTGCTTTGCTGATTTAAATTCAGTCAATGCATTAAAACAAGCTGCACTCGTTTTTATTTATCGACATTTTGCCGATGTTGTGGCAAGCGATGAATTTTTAACATTGAAAGCAAATGAAGTCGAAGATTTAATTCAATCAGACGAATTAGAAGTAAGTAAAGGACCTAAGTGTAATAGACTTTATTAAACAGCTTTTATTTGCTTTTCGTTTTATTATTAAGGTGCTCAACGAAGAAATTGTTTATACAGCTGTTATAAATTGGATTAAACATGATTTAACATTTCGCTCACAATTTTTACTAACTCTATTACAACACGTTCGAATGCCATCCTTATCAGTGAGATTTATAACGGACATTTGTGACTCTGAAGTATGTTATTAAATCTTGTGATTTTAATTGAACGTAAACTCTTTATAGTTAATAAGAACTGTATTAATTAATGCTTGTTGTTGTTTCTAGTGTCTTATCAAAAGTTCATTAAAATGTCGTGATCTTCTGGACGAAGCAAAACGGTATTATCTAAGGCCTGACTGTCGCCGACTAATGACCGGTACAAGATTTATAAGTCGAAAAGGTAATGTTTTCGTTTTGTTTATAGTTTAAAATTTTATTGGATTAAATATTTTGCTATTATAGGAAAAGACGAGCAATTGGTAGTGTGCGGTGGATTTGGGTATTAAAACTTATTTTTAAGCATATTTTTCAGAAATGAGCAACTGCGGATTTACGAAACTTCAACCGTATAAGCCTTTTGACTTCTTTACCATTTATTTTATTGATTTAAGCGTTAATCTTCAACCACAATAAAACCGAGAATGTAAATTTCCATTATATCATCCTAAAACTTAAACTATCAAAACACAAAATCAATCCTTGCAAATCGAAGCTAGAATCGAACACACGAAGTTGATTTTTGCAGACAAACTGCAAAAATCAACATCGCTGTTCTTTCCTATATTCTGCAGAATGATCGAAGTTGTGCAATGACTCGATGTTATCCTTCAATATATATTTTTTGTCGTGATTTTTGTGTTTTGGTTTTGGTTTAAGCTTTAATCTTGAATCAGAACAAAATCGAGAATATAAATTCCTATTATATCATTCTGAAACGTAAACTATCAAAACACAAAACAATCAATCCTTGCACGAGGCTAGAATCGAACACACGAACTTGATTTTTGCAGACGAACTGCAAAAATCAATTTATTTTATTATCATCACTTTATTTTGATTATTCACAAAAAATTATTTTCATAATTCAAATTTGCATTTCAATGATGTTATTTTTGAAAGCGCATTTTTTTGATATACGACATCTATGAGATCGTAAAAGAATACCACTTTGTGAAAAAACACGTTCAGCGGTCAGTTACGATCATCTGTTGCATATTGTGTACACACACGTGCTAATAATAGATGCACATTAGCTTAAACACGTGTTCGCATATTGCATACGAAACACGCTTTAGAAGAAATGTGTTTGAACGTATAGGTTCGATCTAATGAAGAAAAATTTCGGAGTTAGAACAGTTTCACGTTGAAGTTGAAAAAAATTTAGAACCAACTCAACTCTGGCCGGATAAAAACGCAGATCCAACTCCGAAGTTGAAGTTGCCCATCTCTGATATTATCATCATAGTTAAATGTAAAAGTAAAATTTCATAATCTATTTTCTTAGTTCTCACCAACGGCCTGTAGAACGAGTTGAAAAATGGAATCCAAGAACAAATGAATGGACACAATTACAAGTACGAAAACACAACTATTTCAAGATTAAATTAGTAGTTTTTCCAATTTTACTTTATTTGTTTATTTTAGTCATTAACAAAACGACGACGATATGCAGCAGCAGCAGCAATTGGTAAAAAATTGTTTGTAATTGGAGGTTACGACGGTCGAACACGAATGAACTCAGTCGAATGTCTTGATTTGAATCAAGAAAATTCTACATGGCAACCAGTTGCTTCATTATCATACAAACGAGGTAATTAGAAATTTTAGTTACCTGCCTATTAATATGTCTGTTAGTATTAACTGATGATTCCAATACTCTGAGTTTAGTATATATATATTTGGCTTCGATTTCTTCCAATATTCTCATCATAACTGTTCTGATAAATACACGATAACATTCTCACTTCTATCAGCTTCGAATTAGTCATCTTCATTTTCAGAAGATTTATCAAAATTTATATATCACTTAGATAAGTTTCATGTCTTGATAAATGGTGATTAACAGCATCAAATAAAATAATTATTTTTATTGGTTTACAGATAAGATTCTAAAGGTAGTTAGAACAGAAATAAAAACAAAATTCTACAGTTTGAAGAAGTCTAAAAGAATACTTTACGACATGGTGATTGGATTCATCGTTAATACTTATCGGAATTACTCTATCACTCATTTCACAAACATTGTTGCATTTCATTTACAGTTGAGATTAAGCTTAAGTTTCTATTTCTGTTGCGTTCATCAGGTTGCGCTGAATAAACTAATGTATTTGAGGGAATAAAAACAGTCTCCTCTGTTGATGTTCAATGGATATCATTTATTAAATTTAGAACTGTAGTATAATACACGGACAGGAGCCTGTACTATTATTAAATATTTCAAGTGATTATAACTATATTACATATCGACTGACAATTATTTCCCAATAGCTCAAGTCTGTCAAATTATATGATAGAATATATTTTCTCGTTACTGCTTGCTGATATAATTTTCTGGACGTCTGTCCAGAAAAGATCAGGAGTTAGCCGTCTGATTGAGAGAACGGAGCAAAATCAAAAGGTATGGCACACACCACACATATCATCACGAAGCTGACTAAAATTCATGTCATGTTTAAAAATATATTTTGTATTTCTTCTAGCATTGCCGGGTGTTTGTACACATCAAAGTAAAACTTTTCTCTTTATCACTCGGATAAAAGTTGAGCTAATAACTTTTTTTTTCCAGATATGATTTATTGTGCTGGTGGGTTCGATGGTACAAATCGTTTAGCCTCAATGGAATGTTATGATGACACAACCGATTCGTGGACTGTTCTGGATGGAATGAACATTGGTCGAGAAGGAGCCGGTTTAGTTGCCGTTAATGATCATCTATATTGTATAGGTGAGAAAGATAATTATGATATTTGAAATAAGTCTAACGAATTTCGTTCTGTAATAGTAGTAGACTTCTGTTAAACGATATGTCAAAAAGAATTTCTCTTTTCTAATGAGTTTTCGTCCGTTCAACGGTTTAGTTATATAGTCTTTTATTTTCACTTAATTTGTTTCCTTTCTACATATCGTTCTCAATAATATTCCGGGTTTTATTAGTCGAAGGCGTAAGCAAGATAAATATTTGGTATCTCAGTTTAATGGTAATGTTTTTTTCCTGTGACTAGAAATATTTGTTCATTAAACTTTTTACAAGACAAATTCCACTTGTTAATAAATCATAATTCTCACAACGTTAAATAAATTCTCTGTTCAAAGGCGGATATGATGGAATCAATTTATTACAAGCTGTTGAAAAATACGATGTTATTCTTGGCAGATGGACTACAATGGCATCCATGTTGACACCAAGATCCGGTATGAGTGAATATTCGTCAATCCTTACATCTATCTCTAATTAGTTTATATTTTAGGAGCTGGCTGTGCCACGATCAATAACTTTGTTTACGCATGCGGTGGCTTCGATGGCACAATCCATTTAGCTACGGTTGAGCGCTTTGACATTCAAACTAATCAATGGACAAATGTGACAAGTATGAGTGTAAGAAGATGCTATTGTGGAGCGGCTTTTCTACGTGGAAAAATTGCAGTAATTGGAGGGTAATATTGACCAATAGAAAGAGATTAAGTCTGTTAACTAATTGATAGTTGTATTGTTTAGATATGATGGTCAAACACTATTAGATACGGTAGAAGTCTATGATCATGAATCAGATACATGGGAAATTGAAAGTCAAATGCCAAATCCACGTTGTGATTCAGGTATAGATATCTTCTTTTCTCCTGATTTCTCGAAGTAATATTCATTGTTGTCTATTTATAGGGTTCGCTGTTGTGTCATATAGACAGTAGACAAAACACTGTTAGTTGATTTAAAATAAATACTCTTTCTATTCTCTGCATATGTTGCGTATATAACATTATGATGCAGTTTTTTATGAACTTTATTTCTTTTCTTGTACAAACGTACCATGTGATAATCTTTTCTTTTTTTTTCTGTTGTTTGTGATAAGTCTATACATGTATTCACAGTAGGATATCTTTTCTTTTTGCTACTTTTTTTTTCGTCGTATTTAAAAAACAGATATGTAAATAGAATTTGTGCAGTTTTGAACAATTTTGATAATAAAGAAAATAGAAACGTTAGAAATAAATTCAGAACGCTACGACTACTATTATACTGGTTCGATCGTCTAAGAATCAATGCTCAGTAAATTCTTACACAGATCGGGCTACTCGTTAAAACTTTAATCAAAACGCAGTCAATTGAAAGCAAACCGTAAGACCAACCTCAGTTTGTAGAGCTCGTCGAGATGAGCCTGGCTGCGCAAATCGTCGGTTCGGGGTGATACGCGTCAAAAGTTATAAGAACTTTACTGTTTCAGAGGAAAACTGCAATTTCCTTGTTTTCCCAGCGGATTTTCCCTAACTTGTAACGGTTCGTCTGAGTGTATTTCCCAAGATAAATTCTCGCGAGTGGTTTCAAATGAAGCAAAGCTATTCAAAAACTTCTATTATCTACCCTGAAAATATCAGCTCAACCAACTTTCTCTCGTTAGTCAAGCATTAAACAGTTTAAACTTTTTGTTTCTTTGTCTATGTGTATTTTATTCTGCTGTTTAGATGTTATGTTACTTTATGTAGAAAATAAAAGAATAAATTTTTGAATAAGCTTTGTGATTTTTCCATTGTAATATACTCCTTACATGTCAAAACAAGGAAATTGCAGTTTTCCGCTAAAACAGTAAAGTCCTTATAACGTTTTACGCGCATCACCTCCAGATCGGCGGTTTGAGCAGCCAGGCTCAGCTCGACGAGCTCTACAAAATGAGGTTGGCCTTACGGTTTGCGCCAAAACATTTGTAAAGCGTGGTATACTTCATATGAATTTTCCCTACTAGATAACTTCTATTTCTTGAAATGGATCTCTAGATTCGTTACCGTACTGATTACATTCGAGATTCAAATATGATTTTCTTTTAAACAGTAGTTTCTTCCGTTCTGCTTGATAAAAAAAATTGAAGCACGTCTTTTTAATAATAATTCGAATGATTCACAGTGTAAAAAATCTGTTATTCGAATCTCTCTCTCATTTCAAAACTTAGATAAATAAATTTACTAATTGTCTTATACCAGTTTAGTAGGAAAACACAATTATCAGTCTGCAGAATGTATATTTCACGGTCATGACGAAAATCTATCAAAGAAGATTTCTATTCATAAATCAACAACTTATAAAAATGAAAATAAATAATTGTTTCCGATTTTTGATGAGAATCACGCTGGTTCCAACCATTACAGGCTGTGACCAGAACTAGTATCGGTTCACATCTGTTCTGATAAGTCCTTGACTGAAACTGATCAGAACTGATCGTTACCGGTACTACTTAGCTTTCGCTTATGAACAAATAGTTGCAATACCAAAATGTTAACTTAAAAATGGGAAAAAAGCAAAACAAGGGTTAAAAACCCTAATGGAACTCTTAAGGTGGCCCCAGGCAAGATTCCGAGATCGTTGATCAGAAATAATCTGATCGATCCTTTTACGAAAACTCGGAAACGAACCAAGATGAAATTAATCTAAAATTGAGTATTGATGCTGATACTTTTTAAAAACTAATTCAAAATCCTAACGCGTTCTAAAACCACGAAATAATATAAAAAGGTTTTCATAGCCGAATAAAATGACTGATCGACGTTACTTGCAAACTTGTTCACGTACTGTTATTATACTTTGCTTATATATTAAAACAGTACAAGAGAAACATGAAAAATGAATTACACAGAAAAAATTACATTGGCGTATGAGACTACTATTTATACAAATAGCGATATAAAATGATGAAAATCGCAACTACTTTTTTTTCCCTTTTCCTGCCGATCCTTTTCCCCCCTTTTTAGCACCTTTCACGTCTTTCTTTTCAGCTGCTTGTGCCGCTAAGGCTGCTTCTTGTGCGGCCAATTCAGCTAAACGTAGACGCTCAGCCTCTAAAAATCGTTGTCGAAATGCTTCTCGTGGCTCATTAATTTGTTTTCGAGATGTGTCAATTTTGGCCTATAAGAAAATAAACAAAGGGAAAGTAGAGTAATCATTAGAAAGTAATGCTCAACATAAGATTTCTAGCAGTCATCTTTATATTCAATCTTTCTACATTTTAGAATATTACACATACTTGAAGATCTACGTATTCTTCGAGTTGGCGTATTTTTTCCTTGTAGCGATTTGTATTATCTTCTTCTCTAACATTATGAAGTTCTTCCGCAAATTGAGCATATAATTGAAATTCTTGTTGACGTCTTCTTAGCTCTTCCTGTTCGAAGAAATGACTGATTGTAATTGGTTCTTCTGAAGAAGTTTTGTGTCTATAAAAAATCTTTACGTATGATTATCTCTTACTCTGAAAAATTATTTCTTTACCTTAAATAGTGTTTTATGTCTAGTGGTGGTAAAATAATTTTTGGTTTTTGTGGTGGTGGTTCATCAAGTAATGGTTCATCGATTGGTGGTGGTGGAGGTTGTTCTGATATGACTTCTGGAGGCTTAATAGTTTCTTCTTTGACTTTTTTAGCTGCTCCTTTTCCTGTTTTCACTGTTGTTTCTGTTTCCGCTTTCTTATCTTGAGCTTTTTTCACTGGCTCAGTTGGACTAACAATATCTTTTTGTTGTTCATCACCATCGGGTAATTTTTGTTCATCTGTCTCTGACTTTGGTAAGACAGAATCTAAAAATTTTTGGCGAGTTTGCATGGCCTATTTAATGATAAAAAAAGGCATAAAGAGGTAAGCAAATTTTATCACTCGAAAGAAGTCCAAATCACCTTTTGTGCTCGACCTGCTTCATACGTTTCCCAAGCTTTTTTTGTGTTAATGAGTTCTTCCATACGTTCAGTGTCCTTCTTTAAATTTAATTCTTCCTAAAAAAAAGCAATATTTCGAAGCTTACTTTCCAATTATTCAATCTTTTAAAACGTGATAAGCGAGCATGTTGATTTAGGATTTAAACACGTACTCCTTTGTCAGCATCGGAAACTACTCTTAATGTCCAGTGTGGTTTCGTTATATCAACTTGAACGGATGTTGCTGTTTTTGCTGTCGATGGACGGGCAGTGGTGGCTCCTGTTGGCTTGCCTCCTTTCGTTTGTTTTGCCCCACCTGTCGCTGCTCCTGATTGATTTTGATTTGCTCGTTTTGTTGCATCTGGACGAGTGGCTGATGGTGAGGGTTGGCGATTGAATACTGACAAAATAAAAATATAATATTTCTGTTCAATGAAATGAATATAGCGTTGCATACTTTTAAGTTCATTTTTTTCTTGTTCTTTCAATTGTTCAACAAATTGCCATTGTGTTGGCGTCAGTGGCCAAGACTTACGTAACAAAACTGCTTGAATAATATACTTGTGATGCTAAATTGAAAAAATCTAACTTAACTTCAGTTATTCACACAGAGTCAGATTGTTTCTTTACCTTTTCTTCTTCATCTGCAATTATACCTGTCCGACTACTCGATCGCGATCTCTGAAATTATAGTAATAGCTGATGTTAAAAATTTGTACATTCGAAGAACTGTACATATAACTAGACACGTTTCTGATATAATGTCACAGATATTCCGAACGACACTATCTAGAAAACCATTTGTTTCCTTTAGTAAAAGAAAAGTATGTCAGTGCATTTCATGCCGTATTACATGTGCATAATCAAAACGAGAAATGATGTAGTGAAACATGCTGAGACAACATACCGCTCAGTGAAAGAGTCTCATTCTTTTTACTTTGACTTTAACATTTAACTATGCGAAAACAAAGGTATTTGTTAACATAGACACTTTTTATACATGAACAGATAAAAGGAAAATATTACTCACACGGTAATCTGCACTACTAATATTTCTTCTGCTCTCACACAGTCAAAGAATATATAAGAGCATATAAGCTTTAAATCTCATTACGAGGAGTCTTATTAACTGATAAACAAATAATAATTTCTATATTTATCTGTTTGAAAATACGCTTTAGTTATTATGCAACCGACAATGGGTCCTTCCACACAGGTCCGCCCACTTTATACAGAGCATCTTGCCACGAAAATTTCACTTTGCCCATCGTCTACAGCATCAAAAATAACCTAAAGGTCTCGCTTACGCTTTTTTGAAAAAACATGTGGAAAGTGGTTTTCTAGACACCTCAAGTTTTTGGTGAGAGTGAAACGGAAGTCGGTGAAAATG